CTAATAAAAAATTAAAGACAAATCTATCCCTAAAATACTCAATATTAAATCCAGATACCAACTCAGATTCACCTTCAATAAAATCTATTGGACTCCGATTTATCTCAGCTAAAATCCTCACAAAAAATATCAAAAATACAGGAAATATAGAAAACAAAAATCATCCAGTTAAATTTGTTATTAATGTATGCATAGAATATAAATAATATCAACTCTTTGTAAATTATACAATTTCATGCGCGCGCGCGCGCGCGCGCGCGTGTGTGTGTGTGTGTGTGTATGTTTATTTATTTATTTATTTATTTATTTATGTGTTTAGCATATACATCTACAAAACCAAATAACGAGGTTATTGCAAATATGGACAATGTTTTTGAAGATTGGTTAAATGTTACAGATAGAATTTTGGAATATAAACCTGTAACAGATATCGTAAAAAGTGATGGATTGAAATACAATAATACAGGTATTACATTAATTAATATTTACATATTTGATTGTTGAAAAAAATGTTATTTTATTCGACTTCTTACAAAAAACGTAATATTTGAAATTGAATAAGATATATTATTCAATTTCTTTAAAGTTTGAATTATATCTTATAGGATAAAATATAACTTTGTGCAAGATAATATTTAAAAATATGATAACTGTATATAAAAGCAAATGTAGAGATATCTTTTTCGTTTTATGAAATAAAAATGTAAAAATCTATTTAGAAAATTAAATATAAAGACATATTTTTTATTTTGCTTTTCAGAAACACAACAACCAGTGGTGATAAACAAGATAGACAATAAGCTCGATGATAAACAAGAAAAACAAGGAACTGTAAGAGGTATTTGAAATCATTACTATATATATATATTACTATATTAATACATAAATTTAGTAATAAATGTAAATATTTATAAATAACAAACCTTATTTCTATTTATACTGTTTTTCAGAAATGCAGAAAGCAGTTGACGACATAGTTGAACCAAAAAAGATAAAACAGCTTTAGTGACGTTACATGGTATGTTTGAAAGTAATTTTCCACTCCTGTAATGCCATATACTTATTGACTAATGTTAATATAAACATATTTAGGGAGAGTCTTCTAAACATATAATGCGCATATAGTACACATTTATTTATATTGGGCGATATCTTTTTCTATTACTCATTAATCTCTTACTC